GGATCTGGCAGCTTTTCGGCCTGAAGGGCACCGAGGCATGTAACCGTAAGATTGGATGGGACGGGGGCCCGAGTCTGCCTTGGGAATGGCGCTGGTCAGTGGTCACAGTGGCACGGATGGTGGCCACTTTTGGTCAACGGGGATGGAGATGGGAGGATTACGGTGACTGATGCTGATGCCGAGGGGTCTAGATCTGTTGGAAGCGAGGAGAGGGAGACAGACTTGACCCCCTCTTTGACACCCCATCGACAGTGTCTCTGTCTTCATCTCTTCCTCCAAGCCAGCCTCTGTTCGTCCTGCCATCACGTTGACCTCAGCCAAGATCACAATAGCCATGGTTCCCGCCAAGTCTCTTGCCTCTCGGCTTTCGGAACAGAACCTGCCTCTCTACCGACGACGGCCAAGAGAGCTTGAAATTTCCTCTGGCCTGAAAACCAAGAAACGCCAACCGCGGCTCGGGGCCACCTCTTGAGATAAGGGGGGGAAGCCTGCCGAAATCTTGCTTGGCAGACGTGGCACTTGAACGTCCGAACCCCCCCTCACGGCTCGTGTCGGCGATTTCTCCTCATAGAATCTCAACCCCCCATCCTGCGGTCTGCCATCCGGACCAGGGGAATCTCGGGCCATCTGTCCCAATACAGCCCTTGGCACCGGCGGTCGAGATATCTCACGGAGATGAGGCCTAATCATTGGCTCGTAGCCTGCTCGAGACCCCCATATCCCTGTCCAACGCCATGTGGAGGCGTCTTCTCCTCGGGGTTCTGGGGGAAGAGGAGGGGAAGAAATGATGGGGGTTCCAGGTTCCCCCGAGTCCCGCCTCCTCTCCCCCTCAACCCGCTGGCCCCCCTCCCTCTTCCCCTTCTCCGCGACCCCGTCCCATCTCTCCCGTTCCCCATAACCGCGGGCCGTCCAGCAAAACATTAAAAAAAAAAGTAGGGGAAATCCGGGGGGGTTCAGCGCACGAACACTTGCCTGACGCACTGGAGTCTCGCAACTACACGCTATTCGCATATCGCTCGAGTCAGGACAGACCTTCCCATGATCTCATTTCAACGCTGGTTTCGAACGAGATCACAAACCACTCACCCACTCACACTCGCCCTCGACAGTTGTCCGCCAAACACAAAAGGGGCAAATAATACGACAGACAAGTGGCTACTCGTAATAGCCAGACGCGACGCGACCTGCACGTCCGAGGCACATCCTGGAGGGGGCGAGCGCCGAGGGACCACTGTCCAGGGGCCAGATGAGCCAGCGAGACCGCTCGCTTTACCAGGTTACCCCATCATTTGCGGGCCATACCCCCTTTGTTATTCTGGAGTTTACAGGGGCATCGTTCTCCCCCTTCCCTTCCCCTCCCCTGAACCCATGGGGTCGTACTGCAGGCGGGAATCCCATCTCCCTCGCCTCGGCCTCCACGGCCCACGGGACGGCGGGCCCATCCCGTCCTCCTCCTCACTTCCCATCTCACGTCCCATCGGCACTTTGCCCATCCCAAAGTCCCCCCTTCCGTGTGTGTGATGTTGAAAAATCGCACTAAGACAAAAGCAACGTCACTCTACGGGATATCACGTTGAAAGACATCATGACAGGTCGGTAGCCGGGACCGAGTTCCCCGAGTTCCTTGGTCCCGGGTCGAGTCAGAAGAGCACCGCGTCACGAGTCACGGCTCGCCAAGACAGCCGGTCTCATCGGCCAGCGTATTTTTCTTCAGCAAGCCTGTCCAGGACCAGAAAGGCGTCCCCACGCCCGCTGGGCTGTGAAAAGGGCGTCGTCCGTCGTTTTGCTGGCCACCCCGCCGCGGAACCATGCTTCTCCGCATGCTGCGGGCAGTTCAACCCCCCCAGGTCTTCTGAATGTTACCCGGCTACGCCGGCCCCTGCCGGACTTTCCCCTCAACAACATCGCAAACGTGCCACGCTTGATGACCTTTGGCAGTCCGGCCAACCGGCCAACGCTCGCCGGCCCCATGTCCTTGACTAACAGGCACCCTGGGGTCCAAAAGCAACAAACTTGAACCCGCCCCGGGGTCTCGGCCTCGGGCCATTCCAGTAGCTCGACATGCGAGTGCCGGGGTGCCCTACCGTTCAGTCGTGATGCCCGGCCTGCTAGCCCTTGGCGGCGTCCGGGGCCTCGACCAACCGTGGCAGAGGTGTGGCAGCAAACTATGGGCTTCTAGATGACCTCGCCCTCGCCATTGGTCGTCTCGGGCCCGTATCCAGCGACCCCCGAGCGCCAGGCATCACATGGTGTGCGCCCGTCCATCCCATGTCCGGCCATGACCTGGCCGCCGTCGGGTCGAGGTAAACCGAGGGCCATGCCAGTCGCCCACATCACCACCACGCCCCCCTCCTCTCGAAGGGGGCCCTTCCCTCCACCCCTTGCTGGCGCGACGCTCCTCGACGCAGCGGCGTGGACCCCATGGGGCACTGGGGGCAGCACCCGGGGAGCTGGGGACGCCCGTGGTCCTCCCCCTCGTTGCACGCTGCCTTGCCTTGCAGGAACTTGGGGTTGGACCGTGGACGAGCCATCCTGGGCATGGTTGCAGTCCCACGAGAGATCTGCCAGGCCCGCATCCACTCGAGCGCAACGTGCTTATATTCAGCGTCTCCCTCCCTCCCTCTCATCTTTTCTTCTCTCGTTCCTCACCACCGTCAAACCCTCCTGTCCAAGAGTCATCACTCCTCAGACGACAGACAAGATGGCCTCCACCGATCCTTCCAAGCTCGAGTCTGCAAAGGCCACGAGCGGCACCGTCGCCCACACCGAATACAACGGCACCGGCACCTACGTTCCCGATGTCGAGCTCGTCGAGGCTGCCGTCGCCGCCGGCGAGGAGGAGGCTCGCCAGGGCCGCAAGGCTCTCTTCGCCATGTACGGTCCGGCCGTCATCTACAGCTGCCTTCTCAGTCTTGCCCTGGTCATGGAGGGCATGGACGTGGGTCTCATCAACAACTTCTTCGCCCACCCAAGCTACAAGAAGAAGTTCGGCTGGGGCGAGGGTCCCGACGGCCTGCCGTTCATCCCCGCGGACTGGCAGACAGGTATCGGCCTGGGAAACAACGCTGGCTCCATCATCGGTCTCCTGCTCAACGGTTACCTTCAGTCCCGCTTTGGTTCCCGCAGGGTCTATATGGTTAGTCTCTCTGAACGAAGCCTTTATCTCATTTGCCAGCACATGCTAATATTTGATCTCCAGGGCGCCATGGCTCTGATGGCCTGCACCATCTTCGTTCTTTTCTTCGCCACCAGCGTCGAGATCCTTCTCGTGGGCAACCTCCTCTGTGGTATCCCCTGGGTAAGATCCTCCCCATATTCTCATATTTGCAACAGTGGCTGACTCTTTGAACAGGGTATCTTCCAGACTCTCACCACGGCCTACGCCGCTGAGATCTGCCCCGCTTCCATCCGTGGTTACCTCACCGCTTGGGTCTCCATGTGCTGGGGAGCTGGCAGCTTCCTCGCTACTGGCGTGCTCCGTGGCTCCATCGGCCTTCCCGGTGATGCCGGCTGGCGTGTGCCCTACGGTGTTCAGTGGGTGTGGGTTCCCCCTCTGTTCGCCGTTGCCTACTTCTGCCCCGAGAGCCCCTGGTACCTGGTCCGCCGCGGTCGTATCGAGGACGCTGAGCACGCTCTGCGCCGTCTTGCCCGCAAGGGTCACTACACCGATGAGTCTATGCGCCAGACCATCGCCCTGATGAAGCACACCAACGAGATGGAGAAGCTCGAGGCCGAGAACGCCAGCTACATGGACTGCTTCCGCGGTACCAACCTGCGCCGTACCGGCATCGTTTGCATGGCTTGGGTCATCCAGATTCTTAACGGCCAGTCAATCACCAACTACGCTGCTATCATGCTCAAGGCTGTTGGTATGAGCGACAAGAATGCCTTCAACTACAACATGGGCATCCAGTCCGTCAACATTTTCGCCACCGCCCTCGCTATTGCTCTCATGGGTACCATCGGACGTCGCACCTTCTACTTCTACGGCTCTACCGGTATCGGCTTGTCGATGCTGATCGTCGGCGCGCTCGGCTTCGCCCAGATGAATCCCGACACTCGTGCCATCGTCGTGGCCGTCTTCCTCGTCATTGTCCAGTGCATTTTCAAGGTGTCGCTTGGTCCCACCACCTACGTCGTCGTCGGTGAGGTTGCATCCAACCGTGTCCGCGCCCAGACCATCGTGCTGGGTCGTGCCGTCTACGTCTGCGGTCAGATTATCGTCCAAGTCCTCAACCCCCGATTCCTCAACAACACCAAGGGTGCCTGGGGACTCGGTGCCAAGACCGGTATCTTCTACTTCTCCCTCTGCTGCATCTGGGCCGTCTGGATCTTCTTCTTCCTCCCCGAGACCAAGAACCGCACTTTCGCCGACATCGACTACCTCTTCAAGAAGAAGACCAACGCTCGCAAGTTCACCACCACCCCTATCGACCGTAAGTATCATCCGCGATCCCTAAACTTACCAACCGCCGCTGACCTTTCTGCGCCTCAGTGTTCGAGTTCAACCCTCCCCAGGAGAAGCTCCGCTACGAGGAGGACGAGGCCCAGGCCCCTGTCGAGGTCGCCGAGAACAGGCGTGCGTAGATGCCACGGGCATCTGCAAGAACCTGCTAGACGATCTAGACCTGCCTGTATTTGTTTGTTGCTCTTCAGCAGCGGTGGGGTCTGACCAGGGCAGCATGATCAGCCTGGTTCGGATTACTTGTCGTAGCGTTGTAACTCCAATGAAAATATTCAGGCCTGTTTGTGCCTTGAAGTCATTTCATGTTCCTCCGTCCGTGATGCCGACAAATTGCCTATGAAGTCGCTCCATGTACAGCCACATTTACCGAGTTGTTCTGGAGCGGTGTGGAAGAACACTAACTACGGCGTGCTCTAGAAACGTCGCTCAGAATCTTCCATCATGATCAGCAATGTTCGATAGACGCAAATCTCCAGCCAGAGCGGAGACTGATGTCCAGCATCATGAGTGACACACGCTGACTCACACATCAACAGGTCGCTTAACTCAGTTGGTTAGAGTGTCGTACTAATACCCGCCGGTCTTCCGGTGATCTGAAATGCGAAAGTCGCCAGTTCGATCCTGGTAGTGACCATAACATATCATTTTTGACTGTTGATGAAACGACAAGTGTGATCATTGAGTTTTAGGCATCTTGAATTAAGATCAACGGACTTGGCATGTGCTGAGAAATGCGTGTTGTTGTCCTTCCACGTTTTGCCCTCCACCTATTGGCTCGTTCAACTTGCTCTACGATTTCATCAAGCAGGCTGGATCTAAGCAAGCAGACGTACTATGCAGCAGTTCATTCGCCCAAAGACGCACTTGGATAGACCTAGGTCAGTCACTCATATGGCTTCTAAATTGACCACAGTTGACTTACCTAGCTCGGCACGTACCAGGTAACTCGGCAAGAGCTCCATGTACCAGCCAGAGTTGATGCCAGACAGAGATGGCTTTCCAGGTGCCCTCGCACTAGCCGTTCAAGTCCGCGGCGGTGAAACGAGTGAGGCAACGGAACTTGCGTCTGCCGTAGTAGATAAATTCCTCGTAGTAAGCATCCGGGAAAGGAATACATCTGCCATACACCTTTCCGTCGAGGCCAATCATCTCGTAGTTGCGGTTCTTGTAGATGGCTGACGCATTGATTAGCAATGTATCGAGTCATGTTCGAAGTTTCTAGGTAACCTTACTCCAATGGTAAAGAGGGTTGTTGCGGAAATGCATTTCCAGAACTTCAATCCCGCCCGGACGGTCTCCGTGGTTGCACCAGCCAACACATCGGATGCCGGTCTCCCGGCCGCTGACATCCGTGTCCACGGGGAACACGGCGGCATTAAGAACCTCGTTCCGTGAAGGGTGATTCTGGAACGCCTTCCAAACAATACCCTCTCCGTCGCCCATAGCGAAGTATTCATGGTATAGATCGAAGTTGGCGCTGCAAAGCGGCAGCAAAGCCGACAGCATGAAGGAGGAGATCTTCATTGACGTGGATGATCCCTTGACCGGTGTCAGGGTTTGAGGGAGTGTCGACAATGATTCCAAAAACGCTCCTCTGTCCAGCTGGGGAGCTGGAGCTTAAATCATTTCTACCTGCACCATGTCAGACTTCTCCTCCACTGCCAACAACGGGGCAGATTTTGCAGGGTTTCGCGAAGCAGGCATTGCCAAGGAAAAGTAAGCGGTTGGTGATTGAAGCTTTCCTGCATGTCACCTGGCCCTCTGGCGTTATTATTCGTGGAATGTGCAAAGACGGTTCGCCCGTGGTGTTATTAGATCAGGTCTGTTGCCACCTCTCAGGTGTCTCAGTCCAGCCTGGGGCAATGACAGGACTGCTATGCGAGTTTTTTTCATGTTGGTCGCCTGTTCGGCTGCATGCGCGGTACGAATGTGGACTTGCAGGATGTATCAGGGATCCATCAGGGATCTTGCTGCTTCATCGAGCCTGTCAGGGTCTCGACGTTCTTTTGAGCAAACCAGCACCACGACTGGCCACATGTGGTCTGCGAGGTCGATTAGCCGGCGACGCTGCCACCTACCTAATCGGTATGTACCTACAGCAGCGAGAGAAATAGAGGCGGGATTCATGCAAAGCGCCAACAACCAACCGACCATGCAGTGTGATGAAGTACCGTACAAGGATCCGAATTGGTTGTTGGTCCCATCTTGGCCTAGAAGGCGAACTGAAGTCCAGGGGCAGCGCCTGAAGCGCTCCAACCCCCGACGGCTCATCTCAGTTCTGTGGCATTTGTGTGCTTGAGGAACGATTTGAGCTGACTCGTGTCTTATCTAGCACAACTGATGCAGACACCCGCCCGCTGTGCCCTCACACCAAACTCCTTGTACGGACGGCTTGCCCGCCTGTGCATCCACTCTGAACCCCATCCTCATCGCAGTCCCCGCCAGGTCTCCCCCCGCATCCTCAACCGGATCAGGAGCGCACACTGTCCCATTGAGCGGCACGGTGCCATGGGCGAAGTAATCCCCTGCGCGTCGAGCAAGCACTCGCTGGGTGGCCAGAGGGGGTCGTGGCCACTCAGCTCGGAGACGACGACGGAGCTGTTGAGGTGCTGGCGGCTCATGGCCCAGGCGCCTGACAGCGGCGTGACGGAGTCGGTGCGGCTCGACATCAAGAGCAGCGGCGCGTTGGTGGATTGCGAACCAAAAGCGCCGTTGAGGTCGTATGCCGGCTTCAGTGTGAAGCCGGCGCAGCGAAGGGACATGATCGCCCAAGCTGGCGCCGCGGTGGGAGGGTGCTCCTCCATCGAGGTGTATACCTCCCGCCCAGGCGATGCCCAGCGGCCTCACGGGTGTCTGCAGGTCGAGGCAGCGGATGATGGCACCGACCTCGGTCAGCGGCGCGAAGCGGATGCTACCCGTCGTGTTGATGGCCTCGGGCGACATCGTGGCGACAGCGTCCGAGTAGTCGCCCTCGACGATCGCCGTGATCAGCTTGACGCCCAAGTCGGGTGGCTCCGTTGGGAGGTAGGCCATATGCAAGTTTAATACGGCACTGCGCAGACTCTTAGACCTTGTGAGGTGAATTTGGCTATCGAGGATGACCGAAGACGTATGTGAATCAAGGTCGACGATGGCGCCATCGATTCTGGCTTTGATGTCGCTCGGCGCCGAGTTCGAGGGGAGATGAAGGGGCAAGACCTTCTCCAGTATGCCTCGTATACGCGGTCGATGTCTTCCTCTGTGTCGACCATACTGGCATTCCAGTTCTGCCGATCTGTCAGTGAACCCAATTTCCTTGTGGCAAACAAGAACCAGCTCACCCATCCGAGTGCCCCACGTACTGCGGCATGGGCTTCACCTTGTCGCCGTCCCGTGCCAGCATCTCATTTCGCCGGCGGCGCTCCTCATCAGCCTTGTCAATCATTTGCAGCATGTCGCGAGCGACTGACGCGGTGCCGATGAGGGCGTTGGTATCATCCTGTCCTTGCTGCTAGCACAACATGCCGTGGGCCCTTCCGTGCTCGAAGTGAATAGCGAGAGTGTTGGCACCGGAAATGATGTGACCCGCCGTCTGCTTCTGGAATCGGTACAGCTCCTCCTGCCACGCATGCTCAAAACAGCGGGCACTCGGCGTCGTATGACCTATGCCGCGAGGATCGAAGAGAATCACCTCGAAGTGCTTGTCACCGTCGACAAGCTGCTGTGTCAAAGGCCCCTATAGCCACGGCATGTCGACTGAGGCGCCTGCTGGGCCACCAGGGTTGTAATGACGGTGCCCCAGAAGTTCGGGTCCGTGACTGGTACCGTGGCGGGCCGGGTGGCGATGGCGATGGCGACATAGACTGACTAGTCGCTGCTGCAGGTACTGTTGTGCTTGGACCAGTCCAAGGGAACTAGGAGGCGGGCACATCTGAATTGGCCATCGAAACATGATGTGCACTCGAGGTCGCGCAAGGGCTCGATCGTGTGTCCAAATCGAAGGCATCGGGCATTTCTATTATCCGGCATCCATTGAGGGGTGGAAGGCGCGACATGAGCAGCGGCGAAGCCTGCAGACGTGAGAACTGAAGCTAACATGGTTGATCCTCGAAGACTGTGCGACGAGCTTCACGTCTCTTGTTCCACTCTGGCCATGAGGAACGGCCCTGGACTTATGTACCCAGGATCACCTGCATGCCGCGCCGGGTCGGGCTCTTGGCCTTGTTGCCGGACCGCCAAGGCTGTGGTCTGCCAAGCGAGTCACGGGAACGCGATGGCATTGTGCCGTTCCGCCAGGATCACGGCTTCGGGGGCCGCTGCCGGTCTCGGGGCCGGGCGCGTTGCGTCATGCGGAGGACCGACGGAAGTTTCGTCTCCGGCAAGCCGCCGGGTAGTTCGGCTACTCGCTTGTGCTTAGCTTGCTCTGTTTCCATGAAGGAGGGACTTTGGTCATGATAAACACCTGGATGCCTCCCTGGCCCGCCGAGCGCGGCCGCGGCGGGAGGATCGGGACTGTGCCACAATGTTTGGGGGCCGAAACAGTACTGAGCCTGTCGGCCACTCCGCGGTCTTCATAACAGCCTCGCCGGGAGGCCGCTGGTTCTCCATTGGCCAAGTCTTGGGCTGGTTGAGTGACAGACTGCGGCCTGTTGCCAGTGTTGCGTTTCATGGATGGGCACATCTCGCGATCCTCGCCTGTTGTCGTCTTGGGAACTTTGACAAGGCTGTGACTGAGGTCAGCGTGACGGAGACTAGACGCGATTGGGACGATCCTTCCGGTCGGGAGTCCTTTCTCTTGTCGAATTTGGCAGGGCTGCAAATGGCTGCCTCCCGGATGCAAAACTTGAAGTGACGTTGACTCGGAGACCTCGGTGTGGATGGTGGCCTGACCGATCTACACTGGACCCTACCTTCACCGAATGCCCCGCCACCAACGTTCACCGACCTCCGTCGACATCAACCGACGTCCCTCGACTTGGCGAGTTCCCTACAGAGCAATATCAGACGTACAGTTGGTGCAGTGGTCACGGTCGGTAGTGTATTGAAATGAGTGCCATTAAATGAGTGAAGCATAGGTAGAAATCCCGTCATTAGGCGTGGGAAGTTGCGTCAAAGTCGTCAATTGGAAAGTCGTAGCAAAGGAGCCTCCACTCCAGATTCCCGGCCGTGAGACCAGTCCTGTTATGCCCATGTACCCCTCAAGAGGTTATTCTCATGATAAGAGAAAACATGATAAGAGAAAAGGACTGCAAGCAGTTGTGTAAGATCAGCCCCAAGTCGCGAATGTTGGAAGAAGTCGGTGGCTCAGCACCAGCCATCAGTACCAAGTCGGTGGCACGGTCCAATGCCTCAGCATGGTATTGACACCGGCCGTCCACTCGCTCTCGAAGCGTGTGGCCAGCATTGCCGACTCGTGGTCCGTCGGCATCCGACCACCCCACATCTCGGGCTTCATGGCCTCGACGAGAGCGTACCTGGGGATGAGGTCCTCCTCCTTGATCTTCGTCAGGACCAGCCATGCCAGGTTCCAGCTACGATTCGATTCTGGGTCTCCGCGCACGCGCATGTGTGCATCGGCCACGATGTCTCCGGCAAAGGGGTAGGAGCGTGTGATTCCACGCAATTCGTTCAGCAGCTGATAGCTGCTGACGTAGT